TAGCATTTTATATCTGAATACAAGCTGTCTTGCTGTCTTGTGAACCCTAAGAAATAAATCACGACAATTGTCTCACTCAAGTACAGAACTTTGCTGTGCTAAATTAACCCAGATTACTCATAAATATCAAGGACAGAATTTGCTCCACAACTAGGGACAGTTCATTATGGAATAAGGCCATTTTTTAAAATAGGAATTTGGATTGTTAACTGTTTTTTCTGCCTAGCAAATATCAAGTTCTATTTGAGTTTACACTGGATTATAAATGCATCATCCAGGGATAGCTAATTAAAATGGCAAAACTATTTGCTCAGATCCTGTAGAATATGACTGTGGCGGCATCAAATATGTTTGATTATAATTTTTCTCTTCTTTTTCATTCATTCATTCATTCATTTTTGAGAGGCCAGTACACAGTACATGCAGGATCCTGAATTGTGTAGCTGATGCCATACTGCCAGGAAACATTTGGATGTGTGCTCCCTACTGCCAAAAGAAACAGTTTCTGAAATTTCAAAAGGCCAAAACGTGGTCTGTGGTAGGGCATGGAGCAAACTCATAGTGTTCTTACATAGGCTTTTGGCCCTGCAGCAGCCAGTCAACCAACTGGTGTGAAGCTGCTGCTTCCCCCTACACAGCAACTGGTGTGAGAACAGAGCAAGCTATGCCTTTTCAGGAAGCGGCATCAAGAACAGGCCTTGGCTCAGTGCAAAAGTAAGGCTGCTGCATGGCTGGTGATCCATGACGTCAGCAGGAGTTACTAGTTTGTTAGCTGCCATGCAGGAATTCTGAACACAACATGGGGGGGGGGGGGGGGGGGGGAAAATCCCCAAAAAGAATTGAAAAACTTCCAGCTGATTTTAATGGCTCTGAGTTGAACCTTTTGTCATCAACAATGTAAATTTTATCCCCCTCCCCCTCCCTCCCCCCCATATATATATATATATATTTCAAGGACAGACTATTTTTGTATGGTAGAAGAGAGACCTCTTGTGGCATGTTTAAACATGCCATTCTTGGACAAACATTAAAAGGACCCAATCAAATTTCCAAAAAAAAGGCCAAAACGGATTTGATTTATTAGATCGTGGCCATCATTTTAGAGCACATTATTGTGTGAGAACAGAAGAAATAAAGGGCTGGCAATATCTAGGAGTGAACAGGCCACAATTATATAAAAAAGGAAAATGTCACATAGCATGCTACCTACTAAGATCAGTGCTCTGAAGACATCAGCGCTGCGACTCTGAAGAGTCTTATGCCCTCAGACGATGTCAGGGGGCCATAGGATTGTGCCCTAAATAAAATTATGGAAATGGGGTACTGAATTGTAACATGAAGCAGATTTCCAGGCTCCAAATGGTGGGGAAAGGGTAAATTCAAGAATTACCTAAATGCTGAAAATACCAGGTTCCAGCCTGGTGGGAAGCAGGCATCCAAGGCCTCTGGGGAGACATCATCCTCCCTCCCATTAGGGAGATGAGAATTCTCCAAATTCTCAAGGACACAGGAGATAACATGGAAGGCTGGTTGATGACTGGCAGCAGAAGTTAAAGGCTTTTGAGTGGTGGCACCCTAGTTAAGAATGTTCTTAAAGCGGTGTGCCAGGAACCAATTTTACTTTCTCCAGTGCCATATGAATACATTTGTTATATTTTCCCAGATATTTTAATTTGATAAATGCCTTTGTCTTCTGTATATTTTCAGTTGCTATCTTGCTTTAGCATTACCATTAGTGTTTCATTGTGTATTTTAATATTTTATTATATATTTGTCCTTCACCACCATAGATCCAATAGTATTTATTGGATAAACGACACTATGCAAACATTTCAAATAAGTTGCCTTAAGTTGGACATGATAACAAAAGCATGATATCAGTAACAATAAAAAGCATGCATATAATTAAATAAGTTCACTATCTTATTAACTATCTCTGGAACATTCCTAGCTGTAATCAAAACATTTAGCTTTACATATAGTAAAACAAGCCTGTAAGCCATAATTCACAGATTCTTTCCAGTCTTAGTAGTTACAAAGTACACCACAGCTTGGTGGTCTGGTTAAAAGTCATCACCTGTTAGTTAATTAATCAATATATTTATCCCACATTTTTCCCAGAGTCCCCCATAGCAGCCCATAAAATCATAAATTATGACAGGAATAGATGGCATCTTCACCAGCCTCCATTAGTTACAAGACTCCCTGCCTCAATTTGCTGCTGCCACTGAACCTCTGGATGGCACAATTCCAGAAAAGCATGAACTTGATCAGAATTTAGCAAGTATATAATGCCCACTCTGGAAATACACAATTACAACCATGCAAAAATTATGGTAGCCTGTAAGGACATGAAAGCTCAACAAGATTGCCTTCTTCCCCCTTTCATTTGCCCAATCTCTTTCCACAATATGCTTGACTCTTCCTCCAAGTACCTGCTTGAAATGCCCTACAACAGAATGCTCAAGAATGAGTCCCCCAGAGGACCCTGCCTGGACTTTCAAGCCTAAAATGGAAGGGGAGGCAATACACTTTCCCAGTGCATCTTGTTCCCAGCATATTAACTTTGCGGTTTCCTTGTTCACCGGGTGGTGCCTGGCCTGCTCAATACTTCTGAGGTGGCTCCCATCAGGCTTCAGCCCCATGCTGGGCTGATGCCAAAACAGAATCTACAAAGACTTCAAGCCATTTGCCCTTTACAAGGTGGTCCCCAAATATTTTGTCCAAAATATTTCAGAGAGTCCGACCCAAACACGTTTGAGTGCTGAACAGAGAGTAATCCAATTTTCATCCACAATTTTGCAACCTCCCCTTGACAGTCTCAGTATCATTTTTTTAAACACACATGTGTGAGTGTGTGCACACACATGCACACACACATACAGAATGAGAAAAAGAGAGAGAGTGCAAAAAGGGGCTATTGACTGAGACAATTCCATATGTATGTTGAGTCCAGGTTGCAGGAATTGGTAGAATACACACAGACACACACACATGCGTGTGTGTGCACACAAGCACAACATACACACGTATAAATTCTATATGGTGATGTCATACAGCTAATTTTGGCTATGTAAAACTGACATCACTAAGCCAGATCTTAGTAAGGTCAGGAACCATCGCTCTCAGAGTAGCTTTTCCGACAAAGCCAAAAACCAATCAGACAGCTCTGATTAAGGCATAAAGCCAGATTAGTCTGAAGGTATTGCTTCCCATCCTCTGTTTGAATGAACCAAAGGTTTGTCCCTTCTTTCAGACTTTCCCAACATGTTCTGAAGTGTGAGCATTCTCACGAAGCAACACATTCTTGCACTGTGCTCCCCATCTCATTTCTACCCTAGTTGCATGAGGCTTAGTTATGTGGTAAGCCAGTGACTACATCATATTAATGATTTTAGAACTTAACTCTGCCAACAAATCAACAAGCTGCATATCCTAAGAAGAAATTACACTATACACTTAGAAGGTTTAGCTACACTTGGTTGCAACTGCTGGCAAAAATCGCATTAGCTGCATCAAATGCTACCATTGTTATGGCTGAATAAATATTGGTCTTAACAGAAAGAGCCAGTTGGCAGAAAAACAGCAATCCTGGAATGTTTGCTTCTAGTGTTATAAAATAAAATAGTATTTAAGAAGGATGCCATAACAGGATTTTCTTGAAATAATTTCTGTTGGTTACAACATCATAGCATCATATATACCTTGTATAATCAGGGGGTTTTTTCCTTTAATTTCTGTTCCTATTGCCACCACAAATATTGCATAAAATCTCAGTTTTCAATGCCCCAGTTAAACTCCTTCCAAGGCCAACTGTAAACTGGAGTTACCCTCTTTGCTTAGATCTTACATTTCTTATATAACTACACAGTAATCTCATTGACTTTGTTCAGCAGCCTCTAATTACTTTGTGGGACACATTCTGTTTGAAAAATCATCACCCACTATGGCTTCCATCATAACAGAGGATTCCACTTACCTGCCTAGCATTTTGTTAACTGCTGAATTATGTCCATTGTTCACCTAGAGCCTCGTCATTGATTTAAATCTGAATGTGCAAACAATTCCTCCATTAAAACCATTGTGCTAGCCCACAGGGCAGGCATGAATGCATTGGACTGGTTTGGATCTTAACTCAAGAATATCATCTGGTGGCCCTACATGCGGAGCCAATAGTTCTCCATTGCCTCTGAAGGGACAACTTAACCAAACTGAATTGTATGAACAGAGGATCTAAAATGGTAGGCCACGTTTGGATGAGCTGACCTAACATGAACAACAGAGGTGAAGCTGATGCACCACCAATGTGTATAAAGCTATATCAGGCCTCTGAAGAATCTGTACTAATTGTCTGTGATTACTGTTTCACACATACAAAGCATTCTTTGATGTTGCAGTCACTCAGAAATGACCATGCAGGGGTGAACTCAACCAGAATCTAACTAGTAGACGCAACCACATTTTTCTAAGACTGGTTCCCACATGGCAATCTGAATAAATTTTTCATATACTAGAGCCAGGCTAGTGACATCTCTATTCTCTTCAATACATAAGTACCTGCTTCCAACTGATTCACAATGTATCTTCTATTTCCCTGAAATAGCCTTAAGTTCTTTTGCAGACAGCTGTGGGATGTTTTAGATGGACACGGCAGTAAGGCACTGAAGAAAACAAGACTCCTTTTCTTCCCTGCAACATGACCTCTTTAAGTGATGGATTCTGCCTCATTAGGATTTTGATAGACACCATGTACATAAATACAAAGCTGGTAGTTACCCTTCCAGATAAGCACCATAACCATACAAGAAAAGTCAGTAAGCACAATAACCAAACAACAGGAATACACCTTGCTCTCACGCTACTGTGTCTAGTTCACAGCTCAAACATAATTTCTACATTTACAAAATCCCCAGATATAGCAAACAGCTGAGGAGCCATCTAAAAGCTAATGTAGTGTGCAAAGTGACCCTGAAATGCATGGATATGCTGCACTATATTTCCTAGTGGCAACAGTGGTGAACAACAGCAAAATCCTTTGAAGGAGAAACCTTACTTACGGGAGTGCTGCTGTTTGAAAAGGTATTCATGCTGATAGAACTGCTCATTTTGTCAGACGACAAGGAAGGCGGTGATGGACTGCGCTTCTCCAGATGCTCCTGGTTCTGTATATCATGACGCTGTAGATATTCACGCCATGCTCTCTGAATGCTACATGAAATTTGAAATATAGATGAATATTGGCATGCCTTGTATACACAGATAACTGAAATTCTTCTTTCCAATGGAGGCCCTGTGGAAGGCCACCTTGAGGATCTTAGATGACATCTTGCACAAGGCTAGAACTGAAATCCAAATATTTTCAAATCTCTCTTTAGAAAACTGACTTTAAAATGTCCATGGCACAGAGTCTAGCCCTAGTTTGTTTGTTTGTTTAAAGTATTTTTATGCCATCCTATTATAAAAGATCTCAGTTCCTTCCTTGTGTTTTTCCCCCTCCAATGGGAGAAAGTTAAGCTATGAATGGGTTGACAATATACACATCTGGAAATAAGCCTCATTGAATTCCATGGGATGTGAGTCTGAACAGATGTATATTCAGATCAAGTGTATCATAATGGTTAGAATGTTAGGCTGAAGATTGGGAGATCTGAGTTTTAGGCAGCCCTTAACTATGAAGTTCATTGGATGACTTTGGTCCAGTCTCACAAAGTCTCAGCCTAATCTAGCACACAGGGTTGATGTGAGGATAAGATGGACGAAGGTTCTATAAGGCATCTTGGGTTCTGTGCAGGAGAAAAGGTGGAATAGATGACTAAATAAAATATACATAATAATGTTGGTCTGTTGATGACATTTTAATGTTCTTCATTATCAGTTTGCTAACCTCCCTACTTCATCTAATATACATAAGAATACAGGAGAAACGATGTTAGATCAAACCAACGGACTCTCTAATCCAGCACCCTGTTTCCCACTGTAATATATGAGGGATCTTCATAGAGTTTCCACACTTTTATATTCTATAAATATAATTTATATATTTTTGGCTAATGGCATTTAAAAGTTGGTACAATGCTGGGAAAAATACATCACAAAGGAAGGTGACTATGTAGAAAAGTGATGTAATTATTTTTGAAATTCCTAATAAACAGAGTTTTAAAAAGTACAGAAACTTTTTGAAGAACCCTTGTATAACCAACATGACTAACTGCCACTGCAGGAAATGCTGAATGAAGGAAGAAAGGCAATAAGCTGAATAAGTAATAGAATGGGCACAAATTTGGGTTAGGGGGATTTTCTTGCAATTCTCTGTCCTCATTCTCTCAAAAAATGCAGTTTAGGTTTACAAAAAGTGTCCATAAGAGTCTATACCAATGATGGTGAACCTTTTAGAAACCGAGTGCCCAAACTGCAACCCAAAACCCACTTATTTATCGCAAAGTGCAAAACATTGCAATAAAACCTGAAAACTGAGGTTTTAGTTTAGAAAAAACAACTCACAGCCAGTCCAAGCAAATATATATATATCATCCTTGGCAGCACACTGACCAACCATGCGAAAGCTCAGACGCGTCGCAGCTCGTGACATCATCGTCTGGCGCCGCTACTCCTTTCCGAGCATGCGCATGGCCCCTGTGTGCACTGTTATCCAATGCTTGGCTGCTGGGTGATGCTGGGGTGACTTGGGTCGCGTGCCAGAGAAGGCTGTGTGTGCCTGTTGTAGCACGTGTGCCATAGGTTCGCCACCACTGGTCTATACTTTTCTGTAAACAGTGTAGGACAAACTGTTTTGTTTCAGATCAAGGACAAATGAATCAATATAATCTTACTCAACTCATACAGATGGATTCACATATAACACATGATATAACATATATATGTCTTTGTTATCTTTCTGAGTATTGTTAATAGTGAAAAACCAGAAAGAGTTTTCCAAATCAAAACCAACTAATTATAGATCTGCACTACTGAGTAATCAAGTGCTCAGTTACAACTGCATAGTTAGCACCAGATGGCAGTGTAGTTTCAAATAAGGTTTTCATTCTTTAATAGAATTGTGCCAAGCAGTGCTGTTAATACACTAAAAAAATTCTAGGAAACCAATACTTGATCTTTTGACAAAATCCATAAGTTCCTGTACCATTACCTTACTTTATCTTCCATATATTCCTGCTTTTTTCTAACCCTCAATAGAAAGTACTGTCCCAGTCAGCTATCCTAACTGGGAGGGAGGAGTCCCATGGCAGACAAACTGCAATTTCAGTGGCTTTGTTAATTGAATCTAGCCAAAGCAATTTGTTTTCAAAACTTCTTTCTCACAGGTCTTTGTTTTTTAAAATTCTTCTCCCAGTGTGAAGGCAATGAAAGCCTGAACTTGAGGGAGGTTGGATGCGCAGTCCAGAGACATGCTGGAGATGCGAGGGGAAAGCGGAAGCAAAGCCAAAAGCTACCCCAGTGCACCTTCAACATTCCCCTGGACTGAAAAGAAATGACAGTACTCCAAATCAGCCAGATTTTGAGATTTGCACATGCTGACAGAGCTCTTCTCCACCTGATGGCAAACTGATGGATATCAGAGAAATCCACAACACATTCAAATCAGTTCAGTTTTCTAGGAATGTGTCCTACAGATTCTGCATTGGATCAGTTGTTCCTGAGTCACATAGTTAAAATATAGCTCACAAGTATATAGTATATAGTATATATAGATAGAATCTATCTATAATTTCATGTGAATTTATTCAAAATATGTATATGAAAAGCACTGACCCAAAATGTAATTTATCTGCCTAGATTAAAACATTAAAATATGTATTTTGGGAGGATTTGTATATTTTGGTGAGATCTGAATATTTCTAGAAGTTCAAATTTGCATGAATGTGCACACACACATTTATGCAAAATCAGATTCTGTCAATGACTGGACAATGAAATTAAAGGTGTCTGAAAATCTCCAAAACACCAAGGGAATTAACTTTACAAAACTGGTGTATCTCTATCCCAACCCTGCTCAACTGTCCTTTCTAAACCTTTGTTTTCATGGATACCAATATACTTATATAACATTGTTTGGCAATTTAAGAAGGAAGAAAATCCATTGAGCATTTTGCCTTTAAATTAAAGGAAGATCAGACAAAACTGGAGAATATTCAAAATAGCCCAATGGAAAAGAGAGAGAAACTCTCAAGCTGTATAAAAAAGCATACTCTGAGGAATAAATATACTTTAGATTTAGTGATAGGTCAGCTCCTTCACTTTGAATTGGAACTGGCTGTCCAGTTAAGTGCATTTTTTAGAGCACTCTCACAGCTAAAATATAACATTTCCCAAGGGTTCTAAACCGAGTTGTAAATTTGGCTGCACTACATTAAATTAGTTTAAAACCTCATTTTTCCAAGGCCTAGATAAAATTACTCAGCACTAAGAAGACATTCAGTGAAAAACAAAGCAATAAAACATGTTTGTCTTAAAAGGGGATATGGAATTTCCAACCTACACCCCTAATTCCTGCCCAATCCTCACTTAGATCTTCATTTTCTTTCATCTGCCTACTATCTGCCAGACTAACAGGCATGCACTTGGTTTTAATTTGAAACTTCATGTCCCATGAATATTCTATTAATATTTTAATATTCTCTAAACTGCTTTAACTTGAGCAGCATTAGATGAAAGTTGGATTAGCTGCAAACACTGCAGCCTTGAAAGGCGGCTAAGACACCCCTTAATAAATAAATAAATAAATAAATAAATAAATAAATAAATAAGGGCAGAGTTTCCTACACAGGATCTGCACCAGGTCTTTGCTGAGCCCTGCTGAGGCTCACACAGCAGTAGAACCCTTTGTCTAAACTCTCATCCCTCCCATCAGTTGTGCCTGCTCAGAGGGTGCAGATCAAATTCATGAGACAGAGGTGCAAATGTTCTCCTTCCTAGAGCTTGTCTCTGTGCTATTGCCACAGCCCTTGGAGAACAACACCCTCCCTTTGCCACTGCACTCCATCACCCAGCATGTGCCCAATCAGTCCTCCAGAGAAGGAAAGGATGAGGTGGATGGGGGGGGGGGTCCTCTTTCTAGATAGCTGTTAAGAGGCATTTCTGGCAATCAGCCATCCTACAATTTTCTCTTAGGGTATTAATTTTTGAATAAGAATCACAATTGTGTCATTCAAGCTGAAGTTGATTTCTCCTGTCTGGTTCCTTACACTGATAGAATCTTAATCATGATTATCCCCTCCAAGCAAAAATTAAAAAAGGGAGAGGGATGTAGGAAGAATAATGACTGCACCTTTTTAAGCCTCCTACAGTGATCTTGCACATTACTCTGTGGCCAGCACAAGTCTGCCATGGAGAGCATAATCCTCAAAGATTCACTGCCACTCCTGGCTCTCCGAAAAGTCTACCTGTGGCTCTTATGTGCTTTCCAAGGGTGGGAGCTGGATGTGGTGTTCTTTCATCTGGAGCCCCAGATCTTTGGGATGCCATCTGCCCCACCAGCCTGCTGAGCAGGGGTAGCTGCTGAAGCAAAGGCACAGAAGCCCTGATTATCTCTGTTGCATCTGATCCTCCTGATTTAGCTGGATTTTGCCCATGTGGGCTTTGACTACTCCTGCATCCCCTTGACTCTTTCTGTGTGAGGTTTCAGAAATAGCAAGTGCTATCCTTTACCTTGACTGTACAAACATTTTTACAAATAGGTCTCTCTGGGAGACAGAGTAGACAAGGGGTCCTCAAACTTTTCCACCAGGGGGCCAATTGAAAGGTGCCAGTGCTGGGCGCGGGCCGGAAAGGTGGTGCCGGCCAGGGCGCCCAGGCCGGCACAAGAGGAGGGCAGGGCACGTGCATGTGCATGGGCTGCAGTGGGCATGCGGGTGCACGTGGTGAGGGGAGGCGAGGCGAGGCGGGGGCGGGCTCACACTACGATGCAGCAGTGGGCGCGCGATGCAGCAGCTTGCTTGCTTGGAGATCGTTTCCTCCGATCGAGTCCAAAACGATCTCCTCGCTAGCAAGCCGCCGCCTCCCTGCGTGGGGGGCAAGGCAGGCGGCGCGTTGAAAACCTCTGAGGCGGGCCGGATAAGTGGCCATGGTGGGCCGGACCGTAGTTTGAGGACCTATGGGGTAGACCTTTGTTTTCCTTTAAAGATACACACACTGACTTTAGATTATATGCAAACTTTCTTTTGTCTTGTCAGCCTGAGACCTGGATCTTTTCAACACCTAGTACCACCCCGGTGGCATCTAATCAACTCCTTCCACAGTCAGCACAGGGAGAAGCGTAATCTGCTTTCCACGCTGCAGCTCTCCGTGCTCCCTCAAAATCTGCTCGGGTTGATTGGAATTCCAGAACAGATTCTGGTGAGACTGAGAGGATTATCTTCATCCTGTGAGAACTGGAACCCCAGGTTGTTGATAAAGCAACAGTCCAGATTTCTAATCCAAGAACAAAGTATGAGTGTAAGTTATTCCTCGCTGATCAAGCCAGAATTCTGGGTTCATACATAATAGTAACAACTCGGGTATTTGTGAAGTGCCAGCCAAGTCATTTGCTGGGTTATTCAGTAATGTGCCAACTGGACCACTGACTACCTTCTCCAGAAGTCTATAATAAGCTGCAGCAGAAGTGGTATGTGACATCTCCCTGAATTACGCATTACAATTGCCATCAATAAACTTTTTCTTAAGATTGTGGAATTCAAATATAGACGAAACAATATGCTCCTATTACCATTTTCTATTGGATTAATCCCAATTTTAACCTATGTAAGAAAAATGAAGGCACTTAAAAATTCAAGCCAATCAACCAAATAAAACATCTCTCTAGAGCTCAGGTAATATCACTGTATTTCTAAAGCAAACATAAAGGAGTAGGTTTTATGTCACTTACACTTTCACTTTTGATTCCAAGGGCTGTAAATTAATGTGGTATTTCTCAATATTATTTTCCACATCCATAGCAAGCTGATGGCTGTAAAATAGAGGTTATTCATTAAAATCTATTTCAGTATGACATTTCTACAATTACCATGAACTATCCAGTTAAAAGCATACATGCTCCAGCTGCTTGTTCTAAAATGGACAAGTTATGTGTGGGTGTTGGGGCGGGGGAAGGGAACCTTTCTGGAGGTCTAACAGCCAAGCTATCATAAAGTACTGACAAAAGCACATAATTTAAAAGTCATGTGGTGGGTTTCCGAGGCTTTCTTCCTTGAGTTTTCAACAGTGGTCTATGGGTTCTCCAAGATGAGGCTTACCTGCCTGCTGCTTCTTATATAATTTCTAATTTCCATGTGACTGCTCTAGAATTAGCTGTTCTTTCACCTTCATCACTTCCATGTAAAGGCATGGTCCAGAAAACCTCAACCTGTGCAAATGTGACAAGTCTCACATGGTAAGACTTGTTATGTTATCATCTTCACTAGACTTTCTCTTTGCTCCATTCAGAAATCCTTACCCTGGAAGCCTGTTTTTCCCCACATAGAATCGCAGAATAGTAGAGTTCAAAGAGCCAAGAAGACCATGGGTTTTTTCCTGACATCCAGCCAGAACCTGGGTTCCTGTAACTTGAGCTCCTTATTCCATGTCCTGCATTCTGGGATGACTGCGAAGAGATCTTGGCCCTCCTACAGCCTTCCAAGTACTTGAAAAGTGCTATCCTATCTCTTCTCTTCTCAAGGATAAATATGCCCAGCTTTTTCAATTTCTCCTCATAGGGTCTGGTTTCCAGTTCCCTAATCAACCTTGTTGCCAGCCTCTGATCTGTCTTTTCAGTTTGTCTGCATCTTTCTTGATGTGTTGTGCCCAGAACTGGATGCAGTACTCAAGATGGAACCTAACTAGTGCTGAATAGATGGGAGACAGAATTTCCTGCACCCACCCCCATTTTTAGCTTTAAAGCACTCAGTAGCGGTGCCAACTCTGATCTTTCTGTTCTTCTATCTCTGTGTTTGTTGGGATATGGCACAGACAGTCATATTAAGATTTCCTGATCTCTCAAAAGAGTTGGCCCTTTCACCCTAGCCTAGAGCAACTTTTTACACTACCTCCATAATACCACATCTCTTACTTTCTAAAAAGACTTTTCAAAATGTATCTTTTACATGAAGCCATCAGTCATAATCTATTGCAAGGATGTCAAAGCTGTCTCAATCTAAGGATCAAACTCAAGTATGGAGAAGTTGTTGGGAGATGCCAGTGGTGGGTGAAGCTGAAGACTCAAGGGAATGTTGCAAAATGCAATAGAAGTAAGAACTAAAATACCCAAAGTCTCAGCATATTTTAGCTTAAAGCTCTTTCTGCCAGCAACCAGGCCATGGGAGATCCATTTCAGAATGAGAAAAAACACACACACAAGCTGAGAAGATCACCTTGTGATCAGTGAATGATCAAGCAAATGATCAAAAAGAGATAGGAGAAGGTATGGAGGGCTGGATTGGGACCCCTGGCAGGATCAATCCCAGGTGACCCTGTCCTACTACAACTAAGCTTAAGCATGCATAATTGAAATATTTGCATAATCTTCCCTTGTTTAACCCTATCTCCATTTCCTTCTTTCCTTTATTGTATTCCCTGTATGGATTTGCAGATTCCAGAGTTCTTGGGGTGGGGAACTTTTCTCTCACATGTTAGTATCATCTATGTGAATGGCACTTGTAAAGAGTAAATGGTCAAAAAGGCTAAGGTTTGTTTGTTTGTTTGTTTCTCAGTTGTTTTCCTGACTGCTTGGAAATATTAAAAGTGGATGAGAACCATCCACTTCATTTTATCTCAGCCTACCAATTAAAGTTAATTCCCCCAGCACTCATTAATCAATGAATCTATATACAATATTGGCTAACCCAAACAAAGCCTGAAGTCCCCATTAATATCCTGTGCAAGCCTTCCATTTGGAAATCCAAAACTATCAGTACTTACTTTTCAAGTAAATATTTCCCATCACTAACTTGCTCCAAGGTATGTTGCAGTCTTTTGAGTTCTTCCTGCAGTGAAACAAGGTATGGGGAAGCAGTATAAGCATCATTCACAGAATATTTGTCTCGAAGCAGGACATCAAACCTCTTACAAGAATGGAATCCCCTAGCTAGCTAGACTTGCGATTTATGGCTCCTTTTTAAACACTGGAAGAGTTTGTGTCTTCAGTGTAAGGCACCACAAATCATGAATAAGAGACTTTGTAGGCATTTCCAGGAACTTCCTGTGACACTCTGAGAGTTGCTTAAAGAGAATACTGCTGTCCTGCTCCTTGTTACAGTACAGCTAGCCAGAGGCAGGTAATGCAGCTTCTAGTTCACAAGTTGTCAGGTGATACATGGAAGCAAATGGGGCCTCACCAAACTCTATGTAGCAAAGTGCCTTTTGGCAGCAGGTTGCAATGCCCCCTTATCCTGTCCTGTCTTTCCTGATGCCCATATAATTCCGCACATTGCCTGGACTGTCCTGAGAAGCATTCCTCACACACAATTGCCTTTATTGCTGGTTTGTTGGGCGATGGCTGGACTCTTCACCTTGGCAATGCAGGTCACAAATAATCCAAGGTTTATTTCTAATGTATGAACTGAAAAACAAGTGGCAACCACTGCACAACTTTCCAGGTGATCCCTGCCATTTCAGGGTTGGAGGGATGCTGCTCACTCATCATGCTTGCCAAGGGATGGTGAGCAAAGAGCAGATTCATTGAAACGTTATTTGTTTTTCGGCGCCAGGTGAAGACCTTTTTATTTAAATGTCATTTTAATTGTTAACAATATTTGCTTATTTAGCTGGCCAGGGCGACTTCTTTTATATTGTTTATTTATTTTATATTGTTAATTTTAATTTTATATTGTTATTTTTGTATTTTACTGTGCTGTAAGCCGCCCCGAGGCTTCGGCAAGGGGCGGCATAGAAATGTTTTAATAATAAATAAATAAATAAATAAATAAATAACCCTGGTGAAGACCAAGCTGCTGAGCCCTTGCCTGGGTTTTTTGGGCCTGTGGGTGAAATTCTATCAGCAAATCTTCCTGCTTTCTCTCTCTCTCTTTCTCTCTTATTTAAATATCATTGATCTAAAATACTTTTGGCCACCTTCCAGGTCAAAAGTCCTCCAGAGGCAGCATGCAACAATACACTACCACAATAAAACTGATGTGATAATAAAAACAGCAATGAAAACAGCAATGCAAGCAAACATTCTTAAAAAGACAACATGCAGCAGCATAAAATAAGCCTGATGACACAGAATAGCAGCTACAACTGAGAATGATAACTACAGGGAAAGAAGGCTAGAGTAAATTAGAAGGTGTTCAGGGCATTCCTAAAATCCTTCAGGAACGGGGCCCGGTGGATCCCTGATGACAATTTATTCTAGAGGCATAAAGCCACTGCAGAAGAATTCCTCTCTTGTGTAGTTGTGGCTTTCCTAACTGCCCTCAGAGGTAAGGAAATGAGAAGGGCCTCTCTTCCTTATACAGGTGGGCCAGGCTGATATGGGCAAAAGCATTTCTTCGAGTAATTTGGTCCCAAATGGTTTAAGGCTTAAAGGTCATAAGAAACAGTTTTAAATGGACACAGCAGAGGTGCTCAATGGTCTAGTTGCCTTGCCTCACCAATACTTAGGCAGCCACATTCTGTAAAAACTGAACTTTCTGTCTTCAAAGGCAGTCCAATGCTCCCCATGTTCCATTAGTCCAGCTTGGAGGTCACTAGCGTATGGTTAAATAAGGCAAGGCCCATTTTTCCTGTCACTAGCCTCTCCCTCTGGACACAATTATTGTTCCTTTTCCTTGCACCTCTCACTGGCCACTTACTCAGAGATGACAAGCAACAGCACCAATAAAGAGAAAGAGGAGGGCCAGTAGGATCCAAGGCAGCCTTTCCTAGCCTGGTGCCCCCCAAAAGTTGAGGGCTGCAGCTTTCACAATTCCTTTGCTGGTCATGTTAATGGGTCTGATGGGAGCTCGCATCCAAATCATCTGGAGGATATCAGGAAACTGCATTGGCAGTGGGCCCTTTCTTGGAGTTTAAATCTAGGCCAACTCCTGACACCATCCCCACCAAGTTGCTTTCAGACAGTCCTTGCTCCACGGATACTTTCTGAGTTTGCTTTGTCTCTAGACTGCCAGCCTTCACATGGATCAGTAAAGGCTGCAGTCTACATCTTAGTCGTTCCAAAGAGGACCTTTCAATATTTGTTTGCACTTGTATTGCATAAAAATCACCCATTGATCAAGAAAACCCATGCATAGTCACAAGTAGCTTGGCATGAGTAATTAAGCATTGCCAGAAAAGAGGAAATACATCACCAAAAAGATACTATTAGATTCAGATCAGCATAACATATGCACATGTTTATATACATAATTAGAAATAATGACTGTAATTTGAATAGATGCATTGTATATCCCACCATATCAGGGATTACTGGGATCAGGTGACATGCATGTCTGTTCAGTTTGCTGTCTGGATGCTGTCAATAGAGAGCCGGTGTGGTGTAGTGGTCAACAGTGTGAGACTGAGACTCAGGAGATCTGGGTTCTAGTCCCTCACAGCCATGGAGCTCACTGGGTGACTGTGAGCCAGCCACAGACTCTCAGCCCCACCTACCTCACAGGGGTGTTGTTGGGAGAATAAGTTTGAGTGGAGGAGGAGAATTATATAAGCTACCTTGAATTCCTTAGAGGGAAAAAAGGTGAGGTAGTAAATAAATATGTTCAAGACTCCTTTCTTACTTCTTATGGCTTTTTATACCCGACTTGGATTGGGCTGCACTCGAAATGCCTTCAAATATGGTAGAGTCCTCTGCAAGGTAGAATCCTGCCCTAGAGCTCCTTAAGCCATTTTATCTCCATCAATTCTGGAGAAGAGCTACCATCTTGATCCTTGGAAAGGTTCTGATTAGTACTGTTTAGTACTGATAATTTTAACCATATCTCAGATAGCAACATTTTTAAAGGTAGATTATATTTTTATGACAACAGGCATGATTAGAAATTCCAAAGATACTGAGAGAAGCTTAGTTATGCCTTGCAGATGTGTGCACTCTGCTCCTTTGATTTTCCTATATTTTGTTGTGTTACAACCTGGAAGTGAAATGTATTTCATTGGCATTGCTACCAGTAGATGCTTACAAGGTACTCAATGCTATGAAGGCACAAATATTTTTATTGTGGCACCAAACACAAACAAGCACTTGTTGCTTGCATAAGTATTCACTCCTTTACTGTGACATACCCAATTAAGCTCTGGTGCCACCCACCACATTTCAGAGTCACATACTATAACATTAAGTACTTGGAGTGCACCTATGTGCAATTCCAGTGCCACATGATCTTCAATTAAATAAACAATTTCTGGAAAGCCTCCAAGTTTCTTGAATAGTATCTTAAATAAACAACATTATGAAGTCTGAGCAGCAATCAAAACAACTCCAGGATAAAGATGCACAGAAGCACCAGTCAGGGCTGGGTTATTAAAAAGAAATCCTAAACTATGAACATCCTCCAGAGCACCATTAAATCTATTATTACAAAATGGAAGCATATGGCTCAACTGCAATTCTGCCTAGAGAAAGCCATCCACTACAACTCAGTGACCATGTAGTGAGGGCATCAGTAAGAGAAGCATCCAAGAGGTCAACAGCAACTCTAAACAAACCGGAGGGATCACCATCTGAGATGGAAGAAACCACCATAAGCAAGGAGGAATTCATTTCTGAAACAAACCCATATCAAAGCCAATCTAAGTTTGTGAAAAAGCATTCAGGAAACACAGAAAACATGTGGAAAAGGTTTCTTTGGTCTGATGAGACCGAAATGGAACTTGTTGGCCTTCTGCAAAATGCTATGAGCGGCACAAAGCCGAGAGTGCTCTCAGGGCCATTGTGGGATGCTTCAGAGGCTTTATTCTGAGTGTTCCATTTTCTACCCATAGTTTGTTCTGGATACTTTAGCTGATGACATCACCCTCTAGTTTTTCCCCTTTTTTTAAAGGCACTCCCACAGGGAGCTTTGGGAAAGGAAAGCTTGTATTTTTGGCATCACAACATGACATGCAATCCCCCACTGCTGGAGACGAGCCAGCATGAGTGATCAAAGCTAGGGATGTGTGAGGAATCCATCTTGAGGGTGGAAATCCCCTGGATCCCCTGGGCTTGTCTCCCTGGACTCCAGCCTGCTTTCCTGTGTCCATGTGTCCAACTTTCTGGTGAGCACGCCAAGTGTCTGCCCGGCACTTGCCAAGACTTGAGCCCTGCATGATTGCTGCACATTTCTTTTCTGCACATGTGATTTTCAGCCTTTTTTTCCATCGCACAGGACAGGGAAGAGGCTTACCTGTTGTGCAACTGGTTCTGTGAGTATTCACAGGCTTCCTCTCAGCTTAGATCACATTCTAAGACTGGGCCAAGGAAGAGAAGGGTTCCACAAACTGAAGAGGGATAGATTTGACAGGGTTTCTTAGCAACTCTAATTCCAGCTCATTGAGGGTTTTCACATTCTTTCTTAAAGGTCATTTAACCTTGCCTGCATACCCAAACACAGGCATCTTTATTTTGGTCAGGAAAGACATGCATTTTTTAAAAAAACGTGCATTTCCTCAATTGAAAATATGCATTTACCCTCATCCACTGAAGCATGAACATGCTGATCTGGGAGAGAAGTACAAATGTGCACTTTCAACTGCAGGCATAAGTTTGGGAAGTTTTGAAAACTTCCCCCTAATTGCATCCTGCTGATGGCTTGGGGTTAGGAACAGGTTACAGGCTGTACCAGAGCGCCATCTAGAGGTTATTTAGTGGAAAGCAGACAAAGACAAGGAAAGAAAATAATCCAGGCAGAGCTCCAATCTCCAATCCACACAACCAGGGGCAGAAACCAGGAGTTAAACAAGCTCTTAGACTGAGCTTATCTTAAAATGGATTAAGATGATCTTGACAAAGTTAATTCTAATAGGTATCACCCAGAAGAAAAGTATTTAAGCCTGGATTGGTTCACTGAATGGTTAGCAATATATTAACCACCTGAATTTTGCGCACGCACACACTAAAAATGGCCAATATGGAGTTCAGAACTGGAGTTAATTATGTTAGGGCTATTGTGGAAGGATGAACAGTTCAGGAAAAAGAGCCAAAAAAAAAAAAACCCTGGGAAGAGGGATACTTGGACAGTTCCCCCTGGTTCACCAGTGCCATGGTTGCACTTTCAAATCCTGATGCCAGGCATTGAGCTCTGTGGGGATGTACATAAAGGACAGACAGAGAGAGGGTAAGTCTATTGGACTAGTTGTCATGATGGCAATATAGAAGCTCCATGTTTACGATTGTATTTCAGTTGCTGGAGGGCAATGAAAGAGAGCACTATTGCTGCAAGCATTGCTTATGAGCTTTATGGAGGTATATTGGTAGCCACTGTGAAGAAGATTTTGGGCCAGATGACCTTTCCAATTACGTTCAGGGTACATATGGAAGGGCAGTGCTCAAGGATCTAGTTTTTGCCCAGTGGGACAATATCACTATTAGAGGATTGCTTCCATCATCTAGACATGGGGCTGGAGAAAAGGATAAGTTTCAAGATTTTTCTTACCACTGGAAAGGAGAAAAGATGGTGAGGATAAGGAAAAATATTGTGGTGAAGATGAGGTCAAGGCAAAATCAAGTAGGGCACACACAAAGTTAAAATAATGCAGGTATGTGGGAAAGTTGTAGGAGGATAAAGTCCATTTAACAAGAAGAGCAGAGGGGCTGAGCATCAACAGGCTATGCCCTTGATGTTAAAAACAATCGTTTATACTTGTGGAATTCACCTTTGCTGACACATTCATCATTACACTTCTTCCAGCCCCAAATTTAACATAAAGCAGTTATTCAAACAATATATATATGGACAATATATAGATATATATATAGTTATAGTTATATATAATAAATAAACAAATAAATATATTGTTATTCAAACAAAATATATATATGGTGGACTGGAAAGCAAATGTATCAGCTATAGTTTGGGCATTTTGTTGCTAACGTAAGAATACGAGGACATTGGAAGAGCCAAGTTGGATCAGAGCAAGAGTCCATGTAGCCCAACATTCTGCTCGGACGTGGCCAGGCAGTTGCCCACAGGGAACTTACAAGTGGGACGTGAGTGCAAGACCACCTTCCTGCCAAGTTCCCCAGCAGCTGTGCGTACATAGGCATACAGCTTCTGATGGTGGCCGTTGATAGTCTTCTCCACCATTTCTCCAGCTCCTTTTAACACTACTGATGGCCATCACTGCATCTAGTGGAGCTGAATTCCATCCTTTAGCTGTACGCTTTGCAAAGCACTTCCCTTCACCTGTCCTGAAGCTCCCACCAAACAGCTTCACAGGATGACTCCAGGATCTAGAGAGAAAGATGTCTCCCTATCCACTTTTTCCACAGGATGCATAAGTTTCTACACCTCTAACATGTCTCCCCTTTCTCAGTTAATTCTAAAACAGATCCCTGCTGTTGATCTTAACCTCACACAGAAGCTGCTTCAGCCCTTACATTTGCCCCTTTCAGCACTTATTTCAGTGCCACCATATCCTGTTTAGGTGTTGTGACCAGGCTTTATAGAGCATTCTTTTTTCTTTATTAGTGCCATCAGCTAATTTAGCTATTTCACTGCTTATTCCCAATCACAGACTCTCATTTGGGAATCAGCTGTATACCACTTTAACATGAGGTGGACCTGGGCAATATAAGAAATTAAAGCATTGTTTTATGTCCTTCTTTAGCTTGTTAACTTCAGAAGATAATGTAAAGACAACAGTAATCAGACTAAGCAGGATTCAGAGTAAATTAGCTGGCCCGTTTGCAAGATTAAAAGGAGACAAAGCCTCAAGGTTGGTGAGCTTATGATAATTAAGGAAACAAAATGAGGACATTTGCATTGTACATTGTTCCCCAGATGACCTGGAAGTAAATCTCAGTTCTGGGTTTGTCAGCAAGAGGCCATAGTTCAGACATTTATGTGTTCTGCCTCCTGAAATAAAGGGCCAATTTAGGATTGATCCATAGGTACGCTGATACTGGAGCTACAGAAGGGCAGAAAAGAGCAACCAAAATGACTGAGAGGCTGGTGTAACTCCCTTACGAGGCAAGTTACAACACTCGGAGCTGTTCAGCCTAGGAAAAAAATGGGTAAGAGGAACCATGAAAGAGAAAGTGTCTTCCCATCTTGGTTTGCCACACCATGTTTAATTGTTTATAACATGGTATGGCAAACCAAGATGGGAAGACACTTTCTCCCTCTTTCAACACACTGGAAAGATTGGACATAAGAACTGCCATGCTGGATCAGACCAATGGTCCATGTAGTCGGGCATTCTGTTTGCACAGTGCAAACCAGCTGCTCAGAGAATCCCACAAGCAAGGTACGAGTTCAACAGCACCCTCCAGTCCAAGTCCCCAGCAACTTGGGCAGCATATAGGCCCACTGCATTTGATACTGGAGGTAGCAAATAGCCATCAGGATTACTAGCTATTGAAAGCCTTCTCCTCCATGAATTTGTCCATCACTTTTTAAATCCATTCAGTAGCGGCCAAGCCAAGGCAGGTGCAGAGGGAGATACTGTTTGTAAGTTGGAGTACTGATCCATCTAGCTCAGTGTGGTCTACACCAGTTCTCCCAGCTTCCAAACCTTTCAGGCTCATCTGGCATTGATAGATGAACACATCTGGAGCGCACAGGGTCAGGGAAGGCTAGTCTACATGAACGGACATGGGGTCTTTCCCATCTCTACCTAAGGATGCTGAGGGATGCTCCTGGGACCGTTTGCATGCAGCACCTCTGTTCTGGCACTGAGCTATACCTGTTCCCCAAATGAGCTTCATGGTTAAAAAGGATTTGAAGCTAAGTCTACTTCTGCACAACATATGTACATTACACTACACTGGACCACACAACAGGTGCCTTCCTACATTTGAGTTAATGGCAGCATTGGAAGCAGCCCCTGTTCCACCTAATATGAGGTAGAAATGTCCCTTTGATGCTTGCATGATGATGCAGTTACCTTATAGAAGAGCTTTAAATGAGACAGCAATGCAACTGACATTGCTCTGAAAGTTGGAATTTGTGGAAACTTCCACCACAAAAATAACTGAGAATTAGTTTCAGGTTCCTGCTGTGAAAAAGTAGAATGTTTAAATGTGCTTTTCCCAAGTTTAAAAATGGCCATGGCATTGAATCAGCTATGGTTGTTATTAATAATGCAGCTTACATTTCCCACAAAGTTTGGAAACATTGATCTCTACCTCAGCAATTGCTTGTGCATGCAGTAGAAATGGGAGAAAAAATCTGCAACATTATCCTCATTCTTTGGATAACATACACCTGTCCATATTCAGCAAAATGGCTTAAATGCTGCAAGATTATTTTATACACTTCTGATTACTGACTAGTTTAACAGCCTCTTGAAGGAGACCACTCATGAAACTCATCCTCCATTTCCACCTTTCTCAAAGAAGTCTCTCTGTGTGTGTTTATATGTGCAAAACTTAGAAAGTGTTCACATTTTCCTGAAAAATGACTTGCCTATAGTGTGCTTGAATCTAAAAGATAACCTTTTTCATTTTCTGAAGTACAGCAGTGGTCAATTTTGTTTCCGTATATCCCAAAGCAACATAAGGTAATTTAGAAACAATTTACAATTGACTTTATATATAGCCATGGGTGACAAAACTTGCATGACTTACATAAATCATTTTGTGAATGTGTTTGACATCATTTTATATTAACCTAAGGGTGAAGACTTAACAAAAAAAGTTTTTTTTAAGTCTGTGACTTTTTTGCCCATTCAATCATTCCATTAAATATTATTGGCTTGTTCTTTATGGGAAACTGTAATAGGACAACAACAAAGGGGCTAGTAAAGTTTGCATAATTTGGAAAAGCAGAAGACATAAAATCTATACTAATTTCAGTTTTGCGTCATTAAACATGATGTATTGATTATTGCTGCTTGCCACAAAATTTATGAAGCTAGCTATGTTGCTGTGTCCACATAAAGTGATTTTGATGTTTTGCCCTCAGACCTCAAGTATCGTGAATGATGGCACCTCGTGACAGACTATAGCTTAGTGCTGTTGTTCCAATTCACAGCCTTAGTAGATACATCTCACAGATTATGCTGGGAGTGACCCAGCTGCAATCTCTAACTTCAGAAAATTAAATTGGAGGCAATCCAAACTTCTGTTGAAAAACACAGTGAATTATGATGCATCCAAAACCTGTTATCATGTAAATGTACTGTAAAATTCCATGCCATGTTCATTCTTCTCATCCCAACTGTGGAGGATGGACAATCATAAAGAAAACAGACTGAAGCCATCAACCCAAGATTTCCTTTTGATGTCCACAAATGTGGCTCTTTTGTGGATGTACACATAGTGTTTGTGGAATTGTAGGGCTGTCTAGCTGGGGAATAATGTTGTGGGACTATGCGGAAGTCTGGCTTGCCTTATCTCTCAACAGATAAGCAAAAGCTTGTTTTCCTGTATCCCAAAGCAGGTGGTCAGCAAAAGGCCAGTACCTTCTCTTCACAGGCACTTCTGTATCCCTGAATATTCTCTGAGCACATTTCTTTCAGATGATTGCGCATGACCACGTGTTGCTGAGAAGCAAGGGATGGTATTGCTATAGCTTGAACCCATGTGGATCTCATAACCTTTCAAGCCCATAATCTCACAGGGTGAGTCAGTTAAGCCAGTTTTTCTGTTGCTGGTGTTGTTCAAAACATTGTTATGCACCCTTCATCAAAATTTAATTCCAGAGCAGTTGAGAAATGAATAAGGCAACTTATGACAACCACAGGATATAAGGATTAGTCATCAGAGAGTAAAAATTACCGATGGCACTTGAACAGTCTGGCTAAATAAAAGGCATTTTGCCTGTCACATTGGCACTGGGTGCCAGATGAAGAAAAGTATAAGCCCGTTCCCTCGAGTCAAGGTGCATCATATCCAAGGCTGGTCACGTTCATGCGGCAACTGAGGCAGCAAATCCCACAAGGGCTTCTCCCATTGCTTGGTAGTAAAAGCATAATAATAGATTAAATAACCATCACTTTGCTGTGCTTTCATAGTGCAGAAAATCTGCTGCCTGAGACAGCCATCTCACTCTAGTATTTCTTTATTAAACTTTATAGCAATTATGTATATCACCATAACATCCTGCCAAGCCAGCTTACAAGTAAAATACCAATATATTACTAAAATCTACCATAAGCAATATTAAAGACAACAATTCATGAGGCTCTGGCCCACAGGGCAGTTGATGGGAGATGGCCCCATGGAGGGATGGAGGGACAGTCTGACTTGAGTAGAGGCTTCCATGGACCTTCTGTTCGCTGTCCTCTCTCCCTGCCTTTTCTGGAATCCTTAACACAGGTGGTCCTAGTCCCCACCAACATTCTGCTTCATGTTACTTATTTTATAACTAATATTTCAGTTACTTAGCACTTTATTTTACTGCACTTCATCAAAATATGCTTGCAGGAGGGTTTACAAGAGTCAAAGGAATGTCAGATTCTAGGTCTGCTGCTGGATCACACAGCCATGTGATCAGCTGATGACCCATTACTCTGGCCTTCAAACGTTTTCATAGTGGAGGGGAGAGGTTTACCAGTGGCTTGATCCCCAGTGGCTCCCACACCACTCACACAGCATAGAAGCCTGTTCCAGGTTCCCACCTGATTGTGATAATATGAGTCCAGCATATTATGCTTTGGAAATTCTACTGCTGCTACAGCCCTGCTGGAGAAGTCTGAGCCATAGAATGTCTCCTTTCCACAAAGCTCCTAAAAGAAAATGATGTCGATTGGCTCCCCTGCTGTTTGTCAGCCACAATGGCCAACAGTTGCGCCAGTGGTGAGTAATGGGAGTTGTATCCCAGGGGTATCAGGAAGGTGGTTCTGCATGATAATCATGGTGCTGTTGAGTCAGCACTCAGTCTCTTTGAGTCTGGCATAACTAATGGCAAATATCATTACATGATTGCATCGCATCTATATCCTGCCCCTTTTTCTCTTGCAAGGAGCCCAGGGCAGCCTATATAGTCCTCCTGTTTTCTATTTTATTCTTACAACAACCCTTTGAGGTATGTTATGCTGAGAGTCCATGGCTGACTCAAAGTCAGCCAGTGAGCTGCATCATCGTCATCATCACTTCCATACATCTCCATGGCCAAAGCTCTCCAGGTAGTTTACAACAAGATATAAAAACAAGGCAATGAAATATAGGAAAGATACCATAAATTTGTATCTAAGAAACAATTTTTAAACAGCTAAAACATAAAGTGAAAAATGACCCTGTAGAGGAAAATGTCAGGAATGGATAATCTCCTCAAGCCATTGAATAGTCAAGCATAGCTTTGAAAGCCTCAGCATTAAGGGCTGCCCACCTGGGGCAGAAAAGATGGCAGCAGGTGGGCAGCAGTGTGGAGGCTGTTCCACAGGTAGGGGGCTACCACAGATGAAGTCCTAGTACTTCAGCACTTAGAGGAAGTCCCCAGAACGGAGCATAGTAGTCTGAGTAGATTGTGGCTGGGAAAGGAGCTCCGACAGGTACTGTGGCCCCAGGCCATGTAAGGCATTGTATGTTAAAACCGGTACCTTGAATTGTGCCTGGAAGCACAAGCAGCCAATGTAAGCAGGTCAGAACTGGTGTTATCCATTTGGAGCTCTGGGTGCAAGGACACGGCTGAGTGGGGACTGGAATCCAGATAAACACCGTAGCCAGTACACTACACCGGCTCTCCGAATGTGCACATGCTCTTTCTACATCCTGAAAAAACTCCCATTTTGCTCTTCGGCATAAAGAACATAAACATATGAACTGGCAAGGCAGCAGAAGCTGAAGTGTGGTAAAATTAAAAACAAAACTTTCCCTGCGACTCTAGCCTTCGTCTGGTTTGTGACACTTACATGGTTAATTGTTCCTCACATTTAAGGGTAAGTTGCCATGGTGATGGCTCAGCAGTGAGAAGGACTGGTGAGAGCACACAAGGTGCTACCACCTCCCAGAGAATGACAGGGCCAGTAAAGTGTGCCCTTTAACAACAATAAAAGAAACATGGATAAAATAGGAAAAACGGTAAAAACAGCTACAAAGAATAGCAATGATAGCAATAGAATTACTCTGCAAAGCCCCAGGATGGCCAGCTAAATCATTAAAGGCCTCAGAGAAGAGGGCTGTCTTAATGTGGCACCAAAAGGATGACAGGTTTGGTGCCAGCCCTGCTGCAGTGGGAAGGTGGTTTCATAGGCGGGGGTGGGGGTGCCTCACTGAGAAACAAGGGGGTGAACTAGGTGGAGCTGTTAAAAGCTTCCTTCCTAGTGTACTGCACTTTTATCATCTGTTTTTATGGATTGTTGTAAACCAGATAGCTTTGACTGTGGGACTGTATAAAAATGAAATCATCATCATCATCTGGCTGTAGCCTCCACGTTCTGATGCTGATGCTGGCTCCTTCCTACCTAAATTGGATCAATGTTGGAAATAACATAAACAGGTAATAGGACTACATAGTAATAGTACATTTCCCACATTAACATGCCTTTCCTCCATGTAAAAGTTGCATTAAAATTGCTTTAAAAAACAGAAGGCAAGTGGCAAACAGAGGATTCACATTTACCTTTACACACAGTGGCCAAACAGAGAAAATGGTAACTGGAAATGGAAAATGGAGAAGCAAACAAATGTACCCTGAGAAGAATGGGCAGGAGAAGCTACAGTTGCTTCTGCTTCAAATACGTAGCACATTTAAAGCTTCGTCACCTTTGGCATAAAATCACCACATGTGATAAGAATGTCTAGCAAAGCCAGGAGTGAGCCACAACACGGAAATCCAGCTCTTTAGTTCTTGAAAGACATCCTGCCCACTTCTAATCCATTTATGAGAAATGGGACAGATTTTTTTCCCTGTGGACTTCCATCTCTAAGACAGCCAAAGTTCACAAATGAAAAAAAAAACCTCTAAGAAAATTTGTTCAAATCATGTGATTTAATTTATATAAATTTATGAAAATCACAGAAATGTGTTTATTTTGCACAAATCACACCCAAAACATATGTGGATCTTGTGTATCATAAATTTTACACAAATTTCCTTAGCATGTTTTACAAAGTGCAAATCATAGTCTGGTCTTTGAGACAAAAATCCATAAAGTGGATTGACTTGTACCATGGTGATTCGGCACCAGTGCACAGTTAGCAAACCAGAATCTGGGGGCCAGTTCATGAATATCCATCAGATTTTTACTCCTCTCGTTGGATTCCTCATGCAACCCTAAGCCAAGTGCATCTTAGATCTTTCATGCATACATTTGTCTTCTCTAGACAATATACATCAATCACACACCAATGAAAGTCAGAATACAGGAAGGTGTCATGCTGTACAGAAATTAAGCCAAGAGCACTAGCTCAAGGGCAGGAATAATTGGAGCCTTTCAAACTGGAAAGATATAATTGCTAATTAGAACACCACTGGAGTAAACATTAAGCTTTGTTGATGCTTAGTGGAAATGGTTAAGTGATGTCACTGCAAGCAAGAATTCTAAATACCTACCCAATAAATGGAATGAACTTATGGGAACAGTAGCCACTAAGCAATTAACTCATACTGTTTATTGCTCTTCATTTCATTTTTCTCAATTCTAGCAGTTGCTGCAGTTCAACATGTGTCCTACGGTATTTTATTTGAGACTCTTCACAGGACAGTATTGCTACAATTTCAAAACATACATCGAGCATCATCACACACTCTGCATAAGATACCGTGTGAAGCAAAAAGCAGAATTCCTAGAAAAAGCACTCTATCCATAGCCCATTTGCCAGTAGACTGCAGCATTTTGAAACCCTGATGGAGGATAAAATAGATGAATATTCTCTTGTTTCAGAAAAGGAAAATATTTGCACCACAAAGCTGGCCTGTTAGAAGGTCCTAGGCTAGCTTTCTGCATGGCTTTTGTTTGTGTTGCTCTGTGTTTAATGTTGATCAGAAGTTCTATCATTTTTTTAATGCAGCTATTCCAATGAAACATTCCTGAGATTTGGATAGAAAATGATTGGACAATTATGAATAGCAACCTGAGAGATTGTTCAGATTATCATCTGATCATAAATCCATCCATAAATCTGAAATGGGATGAAGAAGCCAGAACAGCAAATTCCTATGCATACTCATCTAAAAGCAAGTTTCATTGTATTCAGTGGACTTTCCTTCTGAGAAAACATGACAAGGATTGTGCTCCAAACGCTGGGTGTGCATGTTCATATGCGATTAACCATGAAGATCTGCTAATAAAGTTGCATGCATAACATGTTCGTGCACCCAGCATAATGATCAAGAGCTGACATTTTGGATACAGTACTAATATGCATTAGATGTCACATTGCCAAAAGAAGGCCTGTAATAACTTCCTGGTGGCGCAATGTTCCCTCCACGCATGTGGGATTGCATATAGGTTAATTTGTACACATTGGCCAGGGACCAATTACCAAGTTGGCAAAAGAAAAGCACCAGGAAAAAAAAAGAAGGAGCAATAAAAGTAGGTGTAGCAAAAGAGGGGTGTAATTTTCTTTATTCTAATTTAATCCTCCA